AACTCTACCCTAGCCGCTATCGTCTCGGTGATCCCAGCCCCTCCGTTTGCAGCCGCGTGCTTACACAATACCAAATCTTCATGTACCTCCCCGAGGCTGTTAAGTATCTCCCCAATATTATCTTTCAAGATTTGGACGGCTCCCATCACCGTTTCCTCAAACTTTGCGAACCAGATGTCCCTCTCGATCGTGTTTTGTTTGGCTCGCTCCAACTCATCAAACACGAGCTTCTCCATCTCGGTCGTATCATGCTCGACCCTCTCGAGCCGTGATCCAAGCTTCTCTACCGCATTGCCCAACGCCTCCTGAGTAACGCTCTTATCCCGCCTTGCCACCTCATGGGCTGTAGTGGTATCTCTACCGCGCTTCCTCGTTCACATCGACTACGTTGCTGGCGTCCTTGGTGTTCTTCTTCGCCATTCTTCTCCAACAAGCTTCTCCTCTGTCCCGGTCGAACTTTGCTCTGATACCACTTGCCACAGGCCGATTCCTCCTTGAATTAAACCGTGCAGCCTTGGCGCTTTACTGCCCAGCGCACACACTAAGTCAGTCTCCCAAACTCGGACCTTGGTACTTAGAGAGAGAAAGTGACGTTTTTAGAGAGCGAAAGGTAAGAGAACTCTTATTGCTTAAAGAAAACTTGGATGCTTACAAATGAGGAAGCTCATCCCTTTATATAGAAGTCTCTCCCAACTACTTCATCAAATAAACCTACCACCTACCAACTACTCTCATTTACTCTACTCTTCCAACTACCAATTACTCTCTCTAGACCCAACCAAAACGTTCCACAAGGTTCTAGAGAGTTCCGGAAATACATATAGGAAAGAAAACATAAAAACGACTAAGTGTTGGGCCATAACCCCCTGGTTTCGACCCATCTTATCCCAGCATGGCCCATTACGGCCTAAGAAAAAATTTGGGCATGACAATGTGCTGCAGCTATGTCGCGCTTCACCTTAGCCACTATGTATTGTCCAATAATGAGTGGCAGGCGAGGTACAGAAGGTAGAAACTCATCAGGTCCCCGAGTCCATTGTGGGCGTGCTCTATTACATAGTCTCGAGACTGATTCTGAAGGTAACTAAACTCGGTGCTCCTTGGTGCCAGTACAATACTTGTAACCAAACCTGTCGGGATCGAAACTGGCACGAGAGATAGTATGATCGCGAGGAAGATAGAGTAGGTCATACCAGACGTCGGAAATTAGATTATCAGATGATAAATCAAATCCTACGGCCTGTAGTATGGCTGTAATAGCGCTCCCATAAGCAGTAGTAGCATCCTCACATCCATGTAAATCATGCTTCACCTTCACCATGTTTTGTGCAATGATCCAGGCAAAGTAGGCGAGTCGAGGGTTGTCCATAAATGGTGCCTGAAGTGTAATGAGCTCGGTCTTCAGGACACACCCCGTGTTGGTTCTAGAGAAAATCGTGTGTGCTAAGAGTTTGTGCACTCACTACGGGATGAGTAAGAAAAGCTGACTTGGATCTCCCGCTATCATAGACGCCATGACCCATCTCTCTCCATAAGTCAAAATCAGGCTCTTCTTCAAGGTGAATGCCATCAGTGTATGGAAGCTTAAGAGCTTCACAAAGTGCAGAAATGGTGAGTGAGTAGGAGTGTCTGCGGATAAAGAATGATTAAACACCGTCAGATGCTCTGGGGCTCCTCCTCTTTGTGTGGTGAAGGGTGACGGTTGCTAAGAATTCGAGAACTAGCTCGGCATAAATTGGAATATTCAGCTCCATGTAAGGTCTCAGCCTAAGTGCATTGATGTACCAGATGCCATCTTCTCTAATCCCAAGCATCTCGAGTGTATGATAATCAATGCAGGGCGTTGGTTTGATGTTCAGCTTCTTGAACCGCCTTGCATAATCAACTCTTGGGTTAATCTCCTTCCCATTGTATCTGATCTTTGGTGGCTCGGGAATCACATGGGCTTCTCTTGAGTGTTGGAGTATTCTCATCACTCGACCTCTTTTTCTCGGTCTAGCTCGCTCAGGATGTACTCTCCAAGAGTACTATCATCGGGTATCACTTCGGAGCTGTCAACTGTGCGACGACTTCTTCGAGGCTTGGTTCGTTCCATTTCCCTACAAGACAAGGTAATTCTCGGAAAAGGAGTGAATATGGATGCTGAGTCTAACATATTAACGATCAGGGATACTAATCAGAGTATCGGGAGATTAGTTAAATCCGCAAGCAAGCATAATTGAAATCAATTCAAAAAATCGAGTAGTTCATGACCAGATTTGGATTTGTGATGTTATTGACATAGAAATTTTCTAAAAATTGGTTCAATTGAGCAATTTCCATGCCAAATCAATATGTTACCTAATATTAATCACTAATCACACAAGATTTGATCAAATTCATCAATTTTGCTAGTCTAAATTCGATTTTGAAAAAGCAGGTAGAATCCAAATTTCAAAATTCTCAATTCCTCTTAAACCAAGTGTTAAAATCGATTTCCAGATAACCTAGAAGGCTAATCTATTATTCTCCACCACTAATAAACCTAGATTTTAGCTTTTTAAGAAAACCCTAAATTCGCAAATCAATTAAAAATGGCGAGTTTGAGCTTCATACCGTGCTGGAAATAGAGATTTAATGATAGATTTGAAATCATCTTTGAAAAAGAGTGAGTTTTGGTCCAAGAATCTCTTAAAAAACTTAAGAATTGAAAAAGATGTTTTATCTCCTAAATCTCCAAGTCTTTTGGAAGAGAAGAGAAAATGAAGTTTTGATCCAAAAAGTGTGTTTCCTTTCTTTAAAAAGCGTTTTTGTGGCAAAAACGGGAATTTTTGGGAATTCAAAAGCTTGCAGAAACTTACCTTACTTGTTTGTTACGTAACCGGGAATTACAAACTTACAGAAAATCGGAATGAACTCTCCCGAGAATGTTCCGGGAATTATCAGGAATCACCGGAAATCTCTGAGAAGTAACATCGGAGGTTCCGTCTCAACGACCAATGGCCGCGGTCAGGAGACGCGCGACCGCGGTGAACAAGGGTCCGGCCGCGGTCACATTCATGGTGCCACGGTCGAACATGTGTTGGCCCCGGGTCGATTGGTCGCAACCACGGCCCAGTTTCCTGCGGCCTGCATCCATCATTCAGGTTTTTGCCGAGCCGAGCAGCTAAAACTTCTCCTTCTTTTTAGGTTTTTCTATTTTTCTGATTTTTTTTGTTTTTTGTTTTATAAGAGTACCTGAAACTAGAAAGAACATAAATTGAAAAAAGGAAAAGAAAACTAAAAGAAAGTGTACCTAAATGGGTTGCCTTCATTAAACGCTTTTGTTTTGAGTCGTTTAGCTCGACTTAGGCTTAAAAGATCAGGCTGGATGAAATGACACTCCACTTGATGTGCCTTTATCATTTCTAGGTCCTGGAGGTTCGGCTTCTTCTTCTTGTAGCACCAAGTTCTTTCCTTTACTCTTTTTTTGGACTTTAACGTTGTTCAGGACCCTCTTTGTGTTCTCGATCAGTTCTTGGATCTGTTCCTCACTAGACTCTGTTGAATATGGTGGAATGATTATCTTGACTTTTGCAAAAAGTCTTGGCTTCTCCTTGTCTTTCTCCTTTGGCCGCTTTCCTTTGTTTGGAGCATCGTCTGGGACAGTGGGATCAAACTTCTTTCGGTCCACATTCAGAAAGCAGCATGCCTATTTGCATGATCGATTACTGCTCCTACTGTAGCTAAAACCGGTCACCCGAATATAAGTGGTCTCTCTTTGTCTTAATCCATTTACAGAATTCGGAAATCTGCTGGAACAATCTTGTTCCCAACTAAAATTTGCTGGTCATGAATCGCCCCTTCGGTATCTTTTTGAGATGAATCTCCAAAGATCACCTTAACCGTCGTTGTCCTTAAGGTCTTAGACATGATGTTGACATTGGCTCCGGAATCGCATAAATAGTCTGTGAACTTGATTCCTGAAATGAAATATTTGAAAGAAAAACGTCACGGGTCATCGGCTTTTGTTAGCCTTTGAAGGGGGAACGTTGAGATACCTTACATGGTGGTTGCTTTGCATCGACATTCTTGTAGAGAGGTATAACGAATGGGGTTTCCTTGTCTTCTCCATCGGTTTCGGCTCCTTCTTCGGGCAATGTAGTGATGGCATTGCAAAATCTCTTGGGATTGTCTTCAACTCTCCCAGGAGAGCTCCATTTTGTCTATTCATAGAATCAGCTGTTTGGGTAACTTGGATGTCTAGCTTCTTGACGTGAGAAGATAAAGCTTCAAACTTCCTGTTCAGATCATTGTACATGCAATCGACTTTCACGTTTATGTCTTTAGATGCCTTCTTGTTTGTCATAACAAGCTATTGGATAGACTGTTCAAGTCTTCCTAATTTCGAAGCTAGCTGGTTTGTTGTAACTCCCTGCTGTTGTCCAAATTGATTATTGAATCCTGTACCTTGATAGTTATATGGTTGTCGCGGCTGAAAAACTCCAGTCCCTCCGAAATTTCCACCTTGGAACCTGTTTTGGAAGGGTTTCTGCTGCGGTGGATAATGCTGGTCTTGAGCATTCTCCACATTTGGATTTTGGTAAGAGAGATTGTTGTAGTTTGCATTCCAGAAGTTGTTGAAACCATTGTTGAAACGATTCAGATACGGTGCTTGTGCTCCTACATAGTTCACTTCTTCTTCTTGAAAGGTTGGATTAATGTGATCAGATTCACAAGGTCCTTCGTCTTCTACGCCAGTGTTGGTCTCACAAGCATGGATTGGGCGATTGTGGCTTTTTAAAAGCTGGCTCATCATGTTCTTCAACTCGGTTATCTCCTTGTTATCCGTTCTGGTCGGCTTCGTCGATCGATCGTATTCCAGACAGTCATTGCTATTGGCTTGAGCCAAATTTTCGATGAGGGCTCTTCCTTGTGCTATCGTCTTCTGTCCAAAATCTCCGTTGTTGGCTGTAGCAAGTGAAAGTTTGTATTTTGGTTACTAACCTCTGTAAAATGTGCTCAGCAGGCTTGATCCGGGAAATCCATGGTGACGGCAGTCATGTTCATACTCCTTAAAACACTTCCAGGCTTCATAAAAAGGTTCAGCCGGTCCTTGCTGGAAACTTGAGATATTGGTTCTCAGTAAGTTCAACCTTGACTTGGTATAGAAGTGGTTCAGAAAAGCAGTTTACATTCTTTCCAATTAGTGATCGATCCTACAGACAAAGATTTTAAACAAACAGTGAGCTTTATCTGCTAATGAAAAAGGGGACAACTTACACTTAAGATAGTCTGCTGGAACTTGGTTTGTCCTCATCATGCTGCAGATTTCTTCAAAGAGTTCAATGTGATCCATTGGATGTTCAGAAGGAACTCGATGGAACTTGTTTTGTTTCACCAAAGAGATGATTTGAGGCTTGACTTCAAACTCATTCCGGTTCAGGAATGGTACTTGAATTGCAAATTGATTTTGAAAATGCTGAGTAGGTGCATCAAAATCAGCTATGCGATGGTTCCTGGCTTGTCTCCGGTGTTGATTTGCTTGCTGAACAGGGCGGTTATTGCGTCCATTTGGCTGCAACTCCTGGTTGTTACCATCGGCTACATTGATAGGTGCATCGAGGTCTTCGCGTTATTCTCTCTCTCGGTTTTAAGGATTTCTTGGAGGGATCTCATTCTCTTCTCCATCTTGTCGAGCATGATCACCTTCTCTGTGATCATCTTCTCCATTTTCACCATGTTTGGACCCATCTTGGTCCATGTTTAAATTGTGGTTAACAGGATTTCGTCGGCCATTCCTTGCGTTCATCTAAGTCTTTGAAGTTTTCTTCTATATCTGTCTATCTCGTCTAGAATTAGAATGTTTTCTACAAGTCTGCGCCTGATATTCATGCAATTCAGAGAAAAACAAAAGAACGGAAAGATAATTCAACAACTTAAGAAGGAAATAGAGATCAGATGTCTAGAACAGAAATTAGAGCAAGAAAAATAAAAAGGACAGCGAAACAAATCCCCGGCAACGGCGCCAAAAACTTGATGTGCTACGAGGTAAGGGAACAAGTTTTACCCTTAATAAAAACAAATGAAAGCCGTAAGTGCACAGCTAATCAGTTGTAGTACTTAGGGATCGAATCCACAGGAATTTGTGTGCCTAGTATTTTTCTATTTCTAAGTTTATGTCTAGACTAAATCGGTTTTAAGGGGTTTTTGTTTGTCACGGATTAAACTAAAACTAAAGAAATTAAATGAATCTATCCTAGAAAGCAAGTAGAAAATCGAATGGAAGCAATTGAAACAAGTAAAAATTCGAACTAAAGCAAATAAAATGCAGATCTAAGAAAGCAAGTAAATATCGATTGGTTTGTAAACAGTGATTTTAATCGGTTTCAACACTAGGGATTTTAGATTGGGATTGACGGATATCGAAATATTAAGGTTCTAGAGCTAGAGTTCGGCAGTATGACTATGCCACCATCGTGATCATAACCAACTGTTTCTCACAACCCTGACTAGTAGGTTAATTTCCACTCTGGCCCTGGAAGGGAGAAAACGCAAGCGCTGCGCAGGACTCGTCAGTACTCACGATTTTGCCGCAGGTAGGTTTTCACTCCTACGGAAAAAATCGCCTGTTTCATTCTAGGTCGGATAATTGATGAAAACTTTCGCAACACTAACTATCTAGATCAGATACGAGGTGATCAATCAAGCATACATGCATTAAAGATGAGAATAAACAGAGAACATAGTTAAAATCCCAGACCTAAAAACCTAGATGTCTTAATCGATTATGAGAGCCCCTTTCGGGAACCCTATGCCCAACTTGAGATCTACTTAGCCATGGTTAAGGTCGACATCATTATTGGTTTTAATGAAAGCAATCAAAACAGTAAAGAAAAGAGATGAAAGAAAGCTTCTCTATTGATGAAATCAGAGTTGAAGAATCATCTCTAAAAATCACATAAAATGTCTGGAAAAAGGGTTTCTGTAAAAGTATGTAAGGTTGTTGCTAAAAACAACCTAAATGACAAGTATTTATAGTCTTCAATACTCCAAGGTCTCTAGGGTTTCTGAATTGAGGCTGGGAAATGACTTGGACTTCAGAAATGGGCTTCTTAAGTCGGAGATGTCTGGGCGCGGTCACGTGAGGTGTGACCGTGGGAAAGGAGGGCTTGGCTGCGGTCGTGTGGCTCTGGCCACGGTGGATGGGCTGCTGGCCGCAGTCACGTGGCTTGCCGGCCGTCTTCAAAGGTCTCCAGGGCAAATGAAATATCTTGAGAACCAACCGTTGGAATGTCTCCATACCAAGTGCATTTGAATGCTGGTTGAGTCTTCTATTAATTGTCCAATTTTTATGGTGATCAGACGGTGAGAAGGTTTTCGCCTCTCCATGAGAATTCTGACGGTATGAATTTTTCCAAAATTTTTTTTTTGTTCCGATTTGCACCTCTTTCTCCTAAATTATATGAAAAGTCTTTTAAATTCCGCAAACATATAAATCCTTTGAAAATCTTTGAAAATACAGTAAAAACACCTGCAAAAGATATTAAAGTGATCCATAAAAAGGGTCAAAATCCGGTGTTATCAGCGGTGGTGGATAATTATCCATTTCTTACACTCTCCGTCGAAATGATCATACTTCAAGTTCATCCATCTCCAAATGAATCCCACTTAAGAACCAACAACGTATCTAATTAACCAATTTTTGGGCCTTGTATTACACAACAAATCCTTTAGTGGACTCTTAATACCCCCTATGATGATGGCTTTTCTTGCTCATTTATCTTAAACAGATTTTCACTTATTTGGGTATAATTTGAGAACTGCTTAAAGAAATAAAACCACCATATCTAATGAATTCATTCAAACAAAAATGGTGATTCATCTCTCATGATGGTTTTATTTTATTTATTTTCTTTAAGATGTGCTATATATGAAAAATTTCTGGTTTTTCCACATAAATTTTTCAGTAATATTTCATAATTATTACACCAAGATGACTTAAATCTGTTATGTTGTATATTAGTAAACTTCAGATTTACTATCTTAAATTTTTTTGCCATTTTTATGTATGCCTACATCAATTTTTTTTCTACAATGTTTCCCTCAGCTGGAACATTTTGTTATTTTAAAATATCTAGCTTTTCTGGAGCGTTTTGCTTATCGAAAGCGTTTCACTCTTTTGGAGCTTTCCATTATCTGTAAATTTTTCTCTTCAAAATTGTTTAGTTCTTCAAGAACTTTTATTTTTTCATGAGTTTCTAACTCTTCTGGAGGTTTTTAACTCTTGAAACTTCTGTAGCTTTTTAACTCTCTTTTGGAGTTTTTAACTCGTAAAGTTTCAGAACTTTTAACTTTTCAGGAGCTTTTGAAAAATTTTAAAAAATTGTAAGTTATTTCAGAAGTTCTGACTTTTAATATCTTTTACCATATTGTAATCGATAGAATAAATTAAATAGTTAAACATAAATAAGTAACTAAATATGTATTTAATAACTATATGTAAATCAGTTAGTTTATATGTTAATTGTCTTCTTAAAAATTAATATAATTTTCTTTCTTTAAATCTCCTAGAAGTTTAACATTTCCGTATTCTTTGATGCTTGATTATAACAAGGTTTATAACAAAGTATCAAAGAATTACGCAAATAATAAATTTTCAAGGGATTTAAAAAAAGAAGTTTATATTAATCTTTACATGATAGTGATAATAATGGATAATCAATGGAGAGTATTATGAAACTGGATTATAATTATTCATTACTATATATAATAATAATAATTCTTGATGTTACCGTCTTAGTTTAACCGACTTATCTCTTTATAAATATGTCATCATCCTTTGTAAGTTGTGAAGTAATTAGAAAACTTACTCTCTTTCTTACCTTCTCGTTACTTTCTCATTTTCACAATATAATAATATATAATATATAGAAGCAAATACAGATATATATATATATATATATATATATATAACACATCTTATCCGTAAATAAGTTATAGTTTATAACAAATTTCTATTTTTTATTATTTTTGCTATTTACATAATTTTTTATTTATTTTTAACACATTTTTATATTGAATAATATTCATTAAACCTGATACAAATGTGTTTTTATGTAAACCAAATTGATAAAAAAAAAAATAGAAAACAAGAATGGTGATTGCATAAATCCACACAGTGGCGGACCCACTAAGAAGCAAGGTGGTCATGTGATATCTCATAAATTTTTATAAAATTAATTTTGTACATGAGTTTATGAAAAATCAATAGCATTGTTGGTAAATACTAAATACTGCTAATTGAACCCCCTAAATCCAACTTCAAACTCCTGCTACAACCAACTTGATATTATTTATTTTTTTATTTGATAAATTGACCCCGATTAAAAATAATTACGGGTCTGCTACTGATTCCACATCTCCAAAAAGAGGAGAAGAGCTGCAACAGTTTAGTCAAGAATTTTTATAATAAGCCCATTTGGTGAGTTTTGTAGTCTTGGAACATTGTAATTCTGTAGATAATACCAAGTTGGACATCCTCTCTAGTAAATTTTATTTGAAAACATAATTTTCATTTACTAAATTTATGGAAATATAAATCGTATATACGACATACATACAAAAATAAGAGTTTAACTGATTTTGTCACATCGCAAATTCTTTATCTTTCTTGGCAGGTAGAGTATTTACCCTTGATTACACAGATTAATTTTAAAAAGTTTGGTATGTTGTGTAATCATTGTAAAATTCAAAATAAAAATCTATCTTTCTTATTAGTTTTAGATTATATCGTATACAATTATAGGCCATTATTTGAACAACAATTCATAATAGGTAGAAAAAAATATCTTCTATATAATAATGTTAAATTATATATATTTTCAATTTATATATTAAAGTGTGTTTTTTTTTAGAAAAGGATTATTTTAGTTCATTTATTAGAGATTAAAAATATATTGTTTTTACAATATGGTTTATACTTTTACATACAGTAAAACCTCTATACATTAAAAATGTTGAAACTATAATATGTTACTAATTTATTATGATATTAATTTATATATAAATTAATATCTATTATTCTATATAGAAGCATTATTTTCGCTCATTTTCTTCTTAAATGTTTTTTCAAATTATGTTATATTT